GTCAAGAGTTTGACAATGGACCTAAAAATGTTGACTTTTCAATTACAACCAAGATTCCAACTATTAGTTGTACTTGAAGAACATAAGCAAAGTGCATCTTTTTATAAGTTCTACTCACCTTTAGCGGCAAAGAAGGGGCCGTGGATAGGTTAGAGAACTTTACTTTTCCATAGAAACCCTCATGTCAATACGCAAATTTTCTTGCATGAAAAGCAAATTACTTACACTCGAAGTTGATGGTTTATAATCGCTTTCAACTCTGATGCTAAATTGTGATAATTAGGATAGAAAAAAATGTGGAGATATCCATCTACACTGCTGAGACAAGCACTAGCGATTTGCACTTGTTCTGTAGCCTTCCTCTTCATCAAGAACTAGGAGCTCATTGTGGATGTAACGAGTGACAAGGATACCAACTTTGATATGGTAAGAGATTGTTCCGATTCTTTGACAAGTTTAGGAGTGCGTATATATTCTTTTTCTTGTAGTTTGCGAAAACAATCTCCTATTCTTATCTTAATTGTGAAAAATGAAAAAGTAAAGCACAAATCTCTTCAAAGTTGCTAAGAATCAATTCAGTACATATTTGATCAACTAACAGTTACATTCCGCGCAAACGTCTGAAAATGGGTGGTTTATGCATAATAAACAAAGTATTAAATGTTCGAACCAAGGACGTAACAATTGCATTAATCTTCTTATCACAAAAAAATTGTCGATCAGTCACAATCCGACAACAGTTCGGTACCATGCGTATGCGCTCCACCTCTACGTTATCAATGAACGATACTGGTATGTTTTCTTATGCACTTGTGCTGCAGATCGGAAGAACATATCAAGAAAATGTAGAATTTGGAAGACCATTGATTGAGGGGCTCCCAACATCAAAGCGTGGCCGTTAATTGGATGAAGGTGGGACTTATTTGTTCATAGCCCTCCATGGACCTTTGGAATTACCAGAGGAAATTCACAAAACCCTACGCATCAACTTCAACACCATCTTCGCCATCACGCATCAGGCCTTTGGGTTTGGACTACCCTTTGCGTCCTCTTCTCCATTTTTTCCTCATATTACTTTTCTTTATATGACTTTTGAAATAGTACTGAACGCTGGAGGAGAACTGTGTTAAAGACGTGCGCAT